GCATCGAAACTTCCGATGGAACTGGACGTCTCCAAGAGTGCGCGGGCGGCGGCCACTGCGCGGCAACCAGGGCGCGGGTCGGCAGCTGTTGCGGCTTGGGACGGCTGTGGCTGTTGCGCAGCTGTTGCAGCTGATCTCCAAGAAGCTGTTGCGGCTGCTGCGGCTTGGAACGCCTGCACGGGGAGACCCTAGTGCGCGCCTCCCGCTCGAACCCGCTCTTGCCGCGCCGCTTCTGCTGCCTGGCGCCCCCCGCTCTGTGCGTGGTGCACGAGGTTCTCGCGACGTCGGAAACTCCCGCCACCCTGGCCGATGGTGGATTTGCAACGAGAGCACGTGAACGCCGAGCACAACAAGCATACTGCGAATTGACCACCTGCGCAGCCCATGCAAGTTTCAGGCTTCAGGGTTACTGGACTCGTCGCAGCCAGGGTGGGGCTCCAAGACATCTTGCTTGTTGTCCAAAATTCGCACGCGCCGCAAGTCATGACGTGCTTTGGGTAGTCGTGGCTGTCGACGTGCTCCTCCAGGGCCATGGACGCAGGCTCGAACTTCTCGACTGCTTTGCTCGGGGCGGCCTCAGCCTTAGCCTGAGCTGTTTCAGCTACGGACGCCTCGCTGCTGGAGCCGCGTCCCTCTGCGGAGCCGCGGCTGGAGCTGCTGCTGGAGCCATGTTTGCAACCGCCGGCCTCGGCAACTCCAGCGGCGTCGGCAACTCCGTCGGCGTAGTCGGCGTCGGCGTCGTCGGCGTCGGACACTACTACGTCGGCTTCGGCGCCCGAGCTGTTGTAACCAGGGCTCGAGGGGGCCGCAGGGCTCGATGGGGGCCGCAGGACTCGAGGGGGGCCGCGCAGCTCGAAGAAGCCGCGGGGCTCGAAGAGCCGCGCGGCTCGAGGGGGCCGCGCGGCTCGATGAAACCGCGCGGCTCGAGGGGGCCGCAAGTCTCGAGGAGGCCGCGGGGCTCGAGGGGGCCGCGCGGCTCGAAAGGGCAGCACGGCTCGAGGAAGCCGCGCGGCTCGAGGGGGCCGCACGGTTCGAGGAGGCCGTAGGGCTGAACTGGGCCGCGCGGCTCGAAGAGGGGCGCAAGGGACGACGACATTGCCTGGCTTGAGCCATGTCGTACGGAAAACGATGGTGACGGTGATGGTGATGGTGATGGTGATGATGATGATGGTGATGATGATGATGCTGATGATGATGATGCTGCTGCTGCTGATGATGAGGATGATGATGATGATGGTGATAGTGATGGTGCTGGTGACGGTGTTGATGGAGATGATATGTGTTGTCTCTCTAAAATAAGATGGTCACCATCATCACCATCGACAACAGCATCACCAGGAAAACCAGACTGGTTTTCCAAGAGATCCCGAGGATGTCTCAAGCGAAACGGGACTGAGCACTTCGCGAACAGCTTCTAGGAACCCTGAGTTGTGATCAGCCGAAACGGGCCAACGCACCTCAAGTCGGGGCATGTTGGAGCCTGGGGTTCCAAGGATATCGCAGTCGCGAGCACCTCGCGAAACGCATCTTGGAACCCAACGGTGTGAGGACGTGTTGGAAGAAATGCTCCAGAACACCTCACGCCAGGGCATCTCGGAGCTTGAACGTGACTGGATCCCCATCAACACTCGGCTGGCACGCGCCAGAGGCGGCTTTGGACTCCGTTCGCTTGGTTCCCCAGACAACTGCGCTGACTGGGATTACGTTCAGATGTGCCGCGCTGTGCTGCGAGCTATGGGCGACGATACCTTCGCCCACACTGCTACCTTCGACGCAGACTTTCGCACGAGACATCCTCACGACTCTGAGCTCAGAGATGCTCCGACCTGAGGTGGTCTGGCCAATTTCGCCTGAGACATCCTCTCAACTCTGGGCTCGGCAACTCCATGACCTGAGGTGGTGTTGCTCGTTTCGCGTGAGACATCCTCCCACCTTTGGGTTCCGAGATGCCGTGACCTGAGTGGTCCAGCCCTGTTCTCCAAAGGAATTTTCGCCACTCTGAGCTCAGAGATGCCCTGACCTGAGGTGGTCCAGCCAATTTCGCCTGAGACATCCTCGCAACGCTGAGCCCAACGATGCTGCGCGCGAGGTTGTCGGGCCAATTTCGCCTGAAACATCCTCGATGTTCTGGGTTTCGAGATGCTGCGCGCAGGGTGGTCTGGCCCGTTTCGCCTGAGACATCTTCGCAACATTGCGCTCGAAAATGCCCTGATCTGACATGGTCCAGCCCGTCTCGCCTCAGACAATCTTACAAATCTGGGCTGGGAGATGCTGTGACCTGAGATGGTCCGGCCCTCTTCGCCTGGGACATATTCGATGGGGTTCCGAACTGTCCGGACTTAAAGTGCTCCAGCCAATTTTGCCTGCGAGATCCTCGCCGCTCGGAGCTCACGGATGCCGCGCAAGAAGGTGCCCAGCCAATTGCGCCTGAGACATCCTCGCAACACCAGGGCTCGAAGATGCTGCACGCGAAGTGGTCCGACCAAGTTCGCCTGAGACATCCTCGCGCCTCCTGGGACATCCTCGCGACTCTGGGCTTGGAGACCTGCAATGGTCCAACCTGTTTTGCCTGCGGCCTTCCTCGCAACTCTGACATCCGAGGTGCCGCGTGCGAGGTGGTCTGACCGACTGCGCCAGGGGCATCCTCCCGACTCTGACCTCCGAAATGCCGTTTCACCTGACACATCCGCGAAATTCTGGCCTCCCAGTTGTCGCGCTGGAGGTGCTCCCTCGTCGCCATCGTCGTCGTCGTCGGCGTCGTCATTGACATCGTACCCGTCGTCGTCGTCTCCGTTGTCGTCGTCGTCGTCGTCGTCGTCTTCTGCGTCGTCGTCATCACCACCGCTGTCCTCGTCGTCGCCGCCGCCGCCGAAGCCGCCGCTGTCGCCGCCGTCGTCGCCATTGTTTTGGGCATGGTCGTCGTCGTTGTCGTCGTTGCCGGCGCCGCCAACGCCGCCGGCGCTGTCGTCGTCGTTACCGTCGTTGACATCATCGCGGCACGCGCCGCTTTCACCCTGGTGGTCGTGACAGCCGTCACCGCCACCGTTTCCGATGATGGCGTCGTCGTCGTTGCGTGGTCCTTCTCCTCACTTTCTGCCTCGTCCCCGCCCTCCTCGTTGCCTTCTCATTATCTTGCCCCTGCCTTTCCCCCCCGTCGCCGGACCCCACATAAGGTTCACAGAAAGTCCACATAGGAAATCGACGTCGTCCCCGTCGCCGCCGCAGCGGTGGTGATCGTCGTCGCTGTCGTCGTCGTCGACGTCGCCATCGCGGTCGCTGCCGCCGCCGCTGCCGTCGTCGCCGTCGTTGCGGTCGCCCCCGCACACGTCGTCCGCGCCACCGTCGCCGTCGACGCTGTCGCGTCGTCACCTTACTCGTCGCTGTCGCCGCGTTCGTCGTACCGTAGTCGGCATCGCCTTCACCGTCGCCGCTGCCACGGGGCGCTTCGTCGTCGCCGCCGTCGTCAACGCCGACGCCGCCAAGGACTCTACCAATGGAGCTCTACAATGGCGCAGCGACAAAACCAGGTAATGCCCTTCAATGCTCTGCCTGCTCCTTGCGCGCGCTCGCCGCCCTCTTGGCGCCGCGGGAGCGCGTCGGCTGCCCCGCAGCGCGTGCGCTGGCTGCCCCCCGGCGGGAACATCATTTCGAATCCACTTGCCAACCACTCACCAGAACTGCTCGTCACAACCGTTCGTCAGGTCACAGGGGGGATGCGCAGATTCCTTCGACGCCTATAAACAAAAAGAAGCAAAAGGAAAACAACGAAGAGCTCTGAGTTACAAGGATGTCTCGGGCGAGTCGAAGATCACCACCGGTCAGGACATACATGGGCCCAGAGTTGCGACGATGTCTGAGGCGAAAAATGCCCCAAGCCAAGAGTTGCGAGGATGTCTCAGGCGAAACTGACAGGACCACCAGTTTCGTGGCATCTCGGGGCTCACAGATGCCGCAAGAAAGAGTGTCCGACCTCTTTCGCATGAGACGTCCTCGCAATTCTAAGCTCCCAGATGCCGTGACCTGAGGTCCAGCCCGTCTCGCCTAAAACACCCTCGTAACTCTGGGATCCTATGCCGTGACCTGAAATGGTCCAACCCCTTTCGCCTGAGACATCCTCGCAACTCTGAACTCCCAGATGCCGCGCGAGCGTTGGTCCGGCCCGTTCGCCGGACGCATCCTTGCAACTCGAAGCTCTCAGATGCCGTCACCTGATTTGGTCCGGCCCGTTTCGCCTGAAACATCCTTGCAAGTCTGGCTGTGGCTGGCGCTCTGGCGAGAGTGCCATCCCAGAAAGGGGTGTGGCCGGCGCGCAGGCGACAGCACCATTCCTTCGACAGAACTGTTGCCAGCGCTCAGGCGACAGCGCACCACTCCCGATCAGGGATGTGGCCAGCGCTCAAGCGAGAGCAGCATTCCGACACAGGAGCATGGCTGGACTTCCAGGTGTAGGCCGCGCTGGCTGTCTTCCTCCTCCTCCTGCTGCTCCTCCTTCTAGTCCTTCTCCCCCTAGCTCTTCCCAAACCTCCCCAGTCTTACCCCGTGCTCCTCCTCCTCCTCCTCCTCCGCCTCCTCCTCCTCCCCTTGTTTTGCCTCCTTGTCTCCTCTGCCCGCTTCTCCTGCGCCCTCCCCCCCCTCCCTTCCTCCTCCTTCTCCTTCTACCATTCCTTTGCCTCCTTGTCTCCTCTGCCTGCTTCCCCTCCTCCCCCTCCTCCTCCCCCTCCTCCTCCTCCTCCTCCTCCTCCTCCTTCTCCTTCTCCTCGAAGGAGCGTCGACTCGGCTTGGGAACTGCGCTTGGCAGCCAAACTCTGAAAGTATGGGGGGGGAGTGGGAAGTAACGGCGGGACGGAAGGGGAGAGACAGAAGGAGTGGAGGACACGGAGGGGAGAGAGGACCTTTTTTCCTTCCAGTCGCGCGGGCGCGGGTCAAATTACTCGCGTCCAAAACCGCCCGTCGACGCGACAAACGCCAGCCAATTTGGCCGTGATGCGCAGAAGAGTGCATTAGAATATTGCTTGCGCAGAGCAGGTACGGAGGTAGAGGTATGGATGTATGGAGGAATGGTGGTATGGATAAGAAGAAAGTAAGGAGGAGTGGAAGCATAAAACTCTGAACGCATGTAGGTGCATGCAGCTATGGGCGCGCGCGGGCATGGATGAAGGGCCGCATGGATGCGTGGAGTCTGAGAGTGTGGGACTATGGATATGTGGATGTCTGGTGCTACATGGTCAAGGACATCTGGAGGCATGGAACTGTATATATATATATATATACATACATATAAACATATATGATGTAAGCATAGTATAACCATCGCGCGCTTCGCGAACGCTCAAGTTCTAGCTAGGCCCGACAGGCTAACGCATGGAATATCACTTGTTGAATCGCCTTGTGCATCTAACGACCTTGTTGGAGTCCCTGCGCAAGCCTCGGAAGCGTATAGAAGGGGAAATGCGGAAACCACATAATCATGAATTTCCTTTAGGTGTTCGATGATTTGGGACCCTCGAAGGCTTCCTGGGATATTTGTTCGATGGTGACGGGGGCCTTAATGATGGTCTGATGTGCAAAAATAAATGGGGGTAAATTTAAATTCGCCGGGCGAAGGACCCAACCAGATGCAGTTGTGAGCACCGCTGTTGTAGCCATCGTCTTCGGTGGAACCCCCTTGTAGGGCCACGAAACGTTGTATTGTGTGGGGGAGACGCATGCGGACTACGCCACTGGAACATTTGGTGGAGCCCCCTTGTAGGGCCACGAAACGCTGTACTGTGTGGGGGAGACGCATGCGGGCTGCACAATTGAGACCTTCGGTGGAGCTCCCTATGGGGCCACGAAGCGCTGCACTGGTAGGGGAGACGCATGCGGGCTGCGCCTCTGGGACCTTCGTCGGAACTCCCTGTGGGGCCACGACGCGCTGTACTCGGTGGGTGAGGCGCATGCGGGCTGCGCAATTGAGACCTTCGGTGGAGCTCTCTATGGGGCCACGAAGCGCTGTACTGGGTGTGGCGGACGCAGGGCACCCCCACTGGGGCCTTTGATGGAGCTCCATAAAACCCTCTCGGGCCGTCCTGTGCGCCTCCAGCGCCGTCTTGGGGTCCTCTTGGGCCGTTTTGGGGCCGTTTTCAAAGCCTCTGGGACTGTCTTGTAACGGAAAATACGACCTCTGGGGCCGTTGTGTAGCGTCGGAAAATTGAAAAGGCGAGAACATGGAAATCCTTTAAAAACCTTTGGATAAGCAACAAGTTGTGTCTCCCGGGGCTCATTTGGAGGCATCTTGGAAGTTTCTGGGGGCGTCTTGGTGGCCTCTTGGATAGTCAAGGGCTAATTCTGGCCGCCTTGGCCGTCTTGGCCGCCATTGGTCGTTCACGCGGTCTGGAAGCGCCATGTTTGGCGATCCGCAGGCCGTATCCGGGCGATCTTACGGCGCCCCCGGCGCCCCAGCAGAACCCCCGGAACACCCCAGTCCCCCAATGGGGACACAGGTCACGGACGGAAAACCGTAGGTTTTCGCTCGAAGAGGTTCCCAGGAGGGCTCCAGGGTCCAGCAAAAGGCACCCAGAGGGTTCCAAGAGGCCCCCAGGAGGCCCAGAAGACGCTCCAAGACAATTTCAAAGAAACGTCCCAAAAAGGTCTAAACGCACTGCAAACTCGCTCTGCGGATGAAGCCGGGAGGCGCGGTACCGGCCAGATATCAAGGGATATGTAGGACCCCCGAGTGGGAGTTCCACTTTGATGAAACACAATTTTTGTAATTCCCTCTCCTTTTTCCCAAATCCTCGATCTTTGAGGGCTGGAAGCGGGAAAACGTGAGAAGGCGAAAAACATAGGAAAAACCATTGGAAATCAACGATGTTACCCTCTTTGGGCTCTCTCGGGACGGCTCTCGCAGCTCTCTTGGGTTGTTCTTGGAGCCTTGTCGGGGTCTCTTTGGGGCCTCTCAAGGATCGGGGGTGTGTTGGGGGCCTCTGGGGGGTCCCGGAGGCCTCTCGGAGGTCTCTGGAAGCCTCCTGCTCCCGCTCTTGGGCCCATCTTGGGCCTGTTCTGGGGTGGTCTGGGGCTGTGCTGGGCGCCTCTTCGGGAGTGTTGGAGCCTTCTTGGCCCGTCTCGGGGCCGTGGGGCGGTCTTGGGAAGCTCTTCGGCGCTCTTGGACCGTTGGAAGCTCGAAAACGCGAGAAGCCAAAAACATTGAAAAGACAATTGAACATATACGACTTTCGCCTCTTCGGGCCGTAATTACCGTGATACCTATCAGACTTCTTGGGATCTCTTGGAGGCCACCTGGGAGCCTCGAGAGACGTCGGAAGGATGACTTGGGCTGCTCGGGAACGTCTTGGGCCATCCTTTCGCATTCCGGGGGCTCCTGGGGGGTGTCTTGGGCCCTCCTGGAGCGCTGTGGAGGCTGCCCGGAAAGGCTGGGGGAGCGGTGTCGGGAGCGTCCCCGAGATGTGGCCATATCTGTTCAGCGAGTTTCGGGAGCACCTTCCCGGAACGCGCTCGTGGCAGGGCGCCCACGTCCGAGGACGTTGGCATGGGAAACCGCAGCGCGTGATCATTCCAGCGCGTTCCGGCGAAGACCGTCCGGAACGCGCTTGGGCAAGCGCTGGGTTTGGGGAACCGTTCAGGCAGTTTGGGATGATCGGGGCAAGAGGCGGAAGCCATCCTCATAAGACATGCAGTCTTCCTGGAGCCGTCTTGCAGAAAACACAAGAAAAATGAGACCCTGCAGTCGTTCCTGGAGCCGTCTTGGAGCCCTCTTGGGCTGCCCTGGAGCCTGTTGGAGCCCTCTGCGGAATGGTCTTGGAGCCCGCGCCGAGGATCTGGAAAATGTCCGGGACCATCGCGGCGGCCTCCGAGGCCCGGGACGCCGAAACCCAATAAAAACAAAGGGGAAATGAGCCCCGGTACTCCCATGGAGTGTCGGGCAGCTGTTTTCGGGCCCCTGGGCTAGAAACATCGCGCGCGCTTCGCGCGCGCTCAGGTTCTAGCCCAGGCCGGGGGGGCGCTGGACGATCTTGGACAACGCTATCAAGCACAGGCGCGCGACGGCATCTGAGGAGCTTCTGGGGTGTTCCGCATGCTTCGTCAACTGGCTGTTGGAGGCACCTCTTGGGTGCTTCTTGGGGGGGCGTCTGAGGGTCCCTTGGGGGCATCGGTTCTGCAATCTGAAGCCGTCAGTGGCCGTCTTGGCTGCGTGGAGGCCCGGCTTGAGGCCACCTGCGGCCAGATTGAGGCAATCCGGAAGCCTCCCGGGGGCCTGCTGGAAGCAGTTTTGACGCATCGAGGGCTTTCTTGGGCTATTTTAAAACCTCTTGGACGTCTCCTAAAGGCCTTTTAGGCCCTCGGGAAGCTTCTGGGGTCCTCGTCGGACCACTTGGGGGCCTCTTGCGGCCTCCTGTGGGCCTTTTGGGGGGAACGATCTGCTGTTGGGTCGCGTTCCCCTTCTTGGGCCTCTCTTGGTGCTCTTGGGGCCCTCTCGGGCCGTCTTGGGCGCCTCAAGCACCGTCTTGGGGCCCTCGCGGGCCGTCTTGGGGGTCTCTTGGAGACCTCTTCCTCTATATTGGAGCGGTATTGGAAGCCTCTTGGGCCGTCTTGGAGCATCGGGATGCCAAAAGGCATAAAAAACATGAAAACCCGTCAAAGCCCAATCGTAACACAATGAGTTGTGCCTCTTGGGGCCATCTTGGGAGATCTATTGGAACCTCGTCGGCCCTCTTGGGAGCTTCTTGGGGGCCTCTTGGATCCGATTGGGGGCCTCTTGGGACTTCCCGAGAACCTCTCGGGGTAGAAAGCTCGGATTCTCGGTTCGTGTTTCCCTTCTTGGGCCTCTCTTGGAGCCGTCTTGGGGCCCTCTCGGGTCGTCTTGGGCGCCTCAGGCACCGCCTTGGGGCCCTCGTGGGCCGCCCAGGGCCCTCTTGGAAGCCTCTTCGGCTATCTTGGAGCTGTCTTGGAGGCCTCTTCCTCCTCCTCGTCCCCCTCCTCCTCCTCCCACTCCAGCTCTCTCTCCTCCTGATCTTCCTCCTCCTCCTGCAGCGTGTTCCGGAAGGCTCCCGCCGGAACATGCTGTGCACAAGTGCTGTCACTGCTCCCGCCACCGTGCCCTGGGTGGTGGGTCAGAGGCCTCATGGGTGTTGGTTTGGATCTCGTGGTTGGCCTGTCGGGGACGTCGTGAAGGCAGTTTCGCAGCTTCTCGGTAGCCGTTTTGGGACCGTTGTGGGGCCTCCTCGGGGCTGTTTTGTGGCCTCTTCAGGCCTCGTTCGGGCCTCCTGGGTGCCTCTTGGAGGCCTCCAGGGGCCTCTTGGGGGCTCCTTAGGTCCTCCTGGGGCACTCTTCAAGCGGGAGGGTCGAATTTTGGAGTCGTGGTCCCCCTCTTGGGCGCATCTTGGGGTCGTCTTGGGGCTCTGTTGGGCTGTCTTGGGCGACTCTGGGGCCGTCTTGGGGCCCTCTTGGACCGTCTTGGGGCGCTCTTGGGGGCCTATGGAGCCGTCGTGGAACGTCGGACAGCCGAAAAAGCTGGAAGGCCAAAATCGTTCGAAAACCTTCGTAAAATTGACGATCTCGGCCTCTTGGCGTCTTGAAGCGTCGTGGAATACCTTGGGGGCCCCCTCGGGCCGTCTTGGGCCTTTCTTGGGCGTCCTGGAGCGGTCTTTCGGCGACTCGGGGCCCGCTTGGGCCGTCTTGGGAGCCTTTGGAGGCCCTCCTGGATTTTTTTGGACCTCCCCGGCCGCCCCGTCCTCCCATGGGGGGTCGGAGGCGGCGACCTCCGAGGCTCAGGACGCGGAAACCTTGTAAAAAAAACACAGGGAAAATGGGCCCCGGTCCTCCCATGGAGGGTCGAGGCAGCTGTTTTCGGGCCCCGGGCCTACTCCCCCGTGATATATACATATATATATATATATATATACATATATATATATACACATATATATGTATATATATATGTATTTACATATATATATATATATACATATATATACACACCAAATCAGGGGGCTGGGGGTCGAGGTCTGGATGCTGAAGTTGGCCGGCCGACATGGAGAAGACGCTCGTGATCAGCAGGCTGTGACGATGGCTGCCCTGGACGAGGTGCAGAGGTGGATGAAGAAGAAGCTCCAGGACGCGTAAGGTCTGCACCTGGACGAAGTCTACGCGGAAGGTGAATTTCAGGACGTGGCTGTCGCCAACGTCTCGATTAC